TGAGGTGACTCTAACCCTCGGGTACAGCTTAACTTTTGGTTCACTTTCCGCTATTGACAGCCTTCTCTCTGTGCCTGCGCCTCTGTGTAGGCCAAGTACAATAGGGTTTGTTTAAGGGCTGGCCTTTTTGCTTTGGACTGAGGCTTGATGTGTCCACCTGCAGGATCTGACAGGGTAAGTAAATAAAAAGAAGATCCTACTGTGGATCCAAAACTGCTGAATAGAGGTTCTGTTATAACATGTTGAACTCAAATCTAAACATGTCACACAAACAAAACCTTGTGAATGAGAATGATTGGATTGCAGCAAGTATGGAAATTCAAAAGTGAAAGAAATTCACAAGCTGATATATCTGTTTGGAAAAAAAACATTTCAATGTAACTCGAGATGAATGCATCAAACTGTCTTTATCCTAAATAGATTTATAATAATTTAGTTTTATTTGAATTACTGGTAATTGTGGTAACACATGTTTACCTTATGGTCATGTGCTGAAGATGGATTTATTTCATCACCCTTCGGGCAAGTGACTTAAAAATCCTTAACGTCAACCCCTGGATTTAAACTTACACCCAAACACCATAGAAATCCCACAAACTATGTGCACAACCCCCTCTATATTTTCCATTGTCTCTCCCTATAAATGGTGTCTGGACCCCCAGGGAAGCATTTGTCCAAACACCCTGGAGAGAACACAGAAAAGACAGATAAGTCACTTTCCTAGCACCACAACACTTCTTTTGCACTCACCCAAGACTTTACACTAATATTTGCTAAAGTTTCTAAACAGTAACCCTTGCTTGCTCTTAACATCAATTCTCTTTTCCACAGACAACCACCCCAATTGTTAATGGAGAGCAGCTGTGGAGAGTCAGGAGCAAAAGGCTACATGTTAACTATTAAAACACACAATAAATATTCAATAAATATTTTAAAAACTTTTAATAAAGTGCAAAGGCCCCTTTAAGGTGTTATAAGATATTTACATAAAAACTTTTCATTTAAATTGCTTTTTATTTCATTACATAGACCCATTGACTTTGAGAGTGCCCAGGGCCTAATAGTGTCTACTGCTATTTCATTTGTTAATGGGATGGGCTAATACCAAAAGTCCCTCTTCTCCCAAACATATTCAATAGGATGTGCTCAAGATGAATAATGTGTATAACTCAACCTGAGTGCTACACATCATCAATGTGGTTTGACAGGTTAATACTCTAAAGCTACTGGAAGAAGGAGCAAAAACAAAGAAAAAACAAAACAAAAATTGTGTATATAAGTAGCCTAGCCTTGGCTTGATCTCATTGTCGTATGAAAATCTATCAAACCAGCAGCAAATATGAAATAAACACAGCATTGAAGATAATTTGGAATATGGCAATAATGGAACTCTTTACATGACAGACACAAACTTCCATTGACCCACTTTTAAGAAGGGGGGAGGAGAGCCCCAGACAATAGGCTAACAAAGTTAACGAGTTGTTAGCTGTGATCATCCAGCTCCAAAATAAGTTTAAAAAAAAACTAATAACAGCAAAGTATTATTGAGAGAAGGGACAGAGAAAGAAGGTAAAATGATCTAATCTAGCTGACTAGTGGTGGAGCAGTCTTTCAAATTACCCAAAAACAGCAGGATATGCTTATAAACTCAGTTTAAAATAAAAGTATAACATCCACCAAAACATGCAAGAAAATTAATAATTTTTTGCAAATACCATCATTTAAACTTATTTCTAATAAAACCTGCACAGTTAAAAGAGGAACTTTACTTGTTGCTCTTCTATTTAGTAGAACTATCAGTGGTGCGCTTATAAAATTTGGACTCAATTAAAGGTTGGCAAGAAGAGAACTAATCATGGGATTGTCAGGGTTCTGCCCTTTGTTTAGGTTTATTTTTATTTTTTTTTGTAATGTTGTGTCTTTGTAGATGTTTTCTGACAGTGTTGTGTTTTTGTTTTACTCTCTGTTGTCCCCTTCTGTCAGTTTCCATTCCCCTTCGCTCCCTTCTACTTACTTCTATCCACATCTGCTCCGTATTAGCTCATTAGCCCATTCTCTGTTCTGTTCCCCATATATAAACCACCTCTGCAGTTCCTCATTGCTGGTTTCTTGTTGCTTAGTTGTTTATTTGCTCCCCATGTGTGCTTTCCCAGATGTTTTTTGGATTTGTTGGTTTTTAGTATTTTTTGTTTTTGGACTTTGCTTCTGTTGCCTTTGTGATTTTAATTAAATCATCAAAACTCCTCTTTGCCTCCTCATCTCTGCATTTGGGTCCTCTAAAAACCTCCACTCAATCCTGACAGGCATGTCTTCAAGTAAAAAAAAACATTATATGCATTAGGGATAACAAACTCCTGGTTGGTTGTGTACAGGTCTGATGAGAACAAAAGAAAACTTTTAAACATGTGAAAAGCTGCTTGCCGTAAAAAACACCAACACTCAATATGACTTAAAACCTACGATCCTCATGTTTATACATGGAGGTTGGCAGGAAATATTTTTTTCCCTAATCGGAAATTTTTAATAAGGATGTATAAATAAACAATTACTAATCAATATTCTACTATTAATTACACAATTATGAATCACTTGTTTTGAGGTTTTAATAAGCCAACGTGTGAAAAAACTCAAGAGATGTGTATTTGATTATCTTCTTATCTTCAAATTACTTCTTATTGTTAGCGATACAAAGTAAAAAACTCCCCATACAGAAACTTTAAACTCAGCAAACCTCACTAACCAAAGAAAAACCCTAAATGCGCATCAGTGGCACAGGAAGTTGTGCAATCAGTGATTTTGTTGAGAACAATGCCGGATATTTCTGCACAAAATAAATATACTTCTACTGAGTGATTTTATGCTAATCTAATAAAGGAAACAAGTTTTGAAAAGCTGCTTTCACTGTTTTTCATCATTAATAAATTCAGTATACAAACAACTTTATATGAGGCATTAAAAATTTAAAATACAAGCTCCCTAAAAAGATAGTTTGAGTGTTTGGTTCTCAAGTTTGAAGAAGTATTTCTGCTTTGTCAATCATGAACTTTACTTTTTGTCTATAAATGCTACTTTCTTCCATGGAGCATGCGGCAGCTGGAAACAGAAAACCAGTGGTTGAAAAGGTTTTATGTTGGGTGGCCGACTACACATGAGGGTAAAGAGTACAGGAAGTCAGAAATGGTAATAGCCTACATATATGGAAAGTAAAGAGAGCACAAAGGTGATCGATACATCCTGGGACATCCCCTTTTGGCCTCAGATGAAACCAACATAACCAAAGGGATATCTTATGGTCATCTAATAACTGTGCTGTATTTAATGTAGAGAACGTATTAGAAGCCCAACTCAAACTTGAAGCTTGTTCGGTTAAACCAATGTTTTTAGTATGTGTAGGCTCCCCTTATTATTGCACTATTAGAAACTCTAGCAATCTGCAGTCTAAAAATAAAGCCCTTTGTTTTGATGATGTAGAACCTTGATATATAAGATATTTTTTGAGATTTAAGAGTGCACAAACAAGGAGCTTTAGATCTGAATTTTGATCGATTTCAAATAAATTTGTGAAATATCAAATGTCAAATTAGCTTAAGGCCTTGCCATACACACACACACACACACACATACACACACACACACAC